TCTTCAATGATAATGTCATTAATAAATGTTTTGTTCTTTTAGGATTGTTATACAGAAACTTTAAAAATTTAACTAAAGAGTCATTTATTTTGATTTATAAATCTTTAATTAGGTCAAAGTTAGAGTATGGTGTCAGTGTCTGGTCTTCTTGGAAAATAAAAAAAATTGACGGTTTGAAAAGGGTTCAGAAACGGGCAACCAAGATGGCCAGGGATTGCAAAGGCCTTTGTTACTCGGATCGATTGAAGTTTCTTGGCTTGCCAACTTTAAGATTTAGAAGAGTTCTTGAAGACATTTTAATGATTTTCAACATTGCGAAGGTTATGGTAAATAGAGATTCCTCACCAGCTTTGTGTTTTGATGCGGATTCACGTACCAGAGGGCATCGCTATAGAATGCATGTTCAAAAGTTCCATACAAATACAAGAAAGTATTTGTTTTCTAACATAGTGATCTCTATTTGGAATAATTTACCGACATGCGTTGTTGAATCAGATACTGTTTCCAACTTCAAAAAGAATTTTGACTTATATATGGCCAACAATGATTTTCTTTATGATCATAAAAATGACATTGCTGTTTGATTGCTTTTTGTTGTCTTTTAGTGCTATTTTGATATGGATATATATAACTAAGTTTAAGCCCATTATTTATTTATATTTATATATTTATTTATAAGATATAACATCTAGTCAAATAAAACAACTAGCAAAAGAAATGTTTAAACTTAATGACTACCTAACAACTAACAATAAACATCTTTCAAACAGTTGTCACGTATGGTTAAGAGTAGATCGAGTACGTCGTCCACTGGAAGCACCATATATAGACCCTTTCAAAGTGATTGAACTTATCGACAAATACTTTAAAATTGAATTGTTACCCTGAAATTTTCAGAATGTGTCAATTGATCGGTTAAAGCCAGCTTGTTTATTATTACCTTCAACAACCAAAACCAGAATAAACAACGAGGATAGTTTGACAACGAACAACAAACTTTCTACAACAGATACAACAAAACTAGCAACATTGGATACAAAATCTACTAAAAAACCAGAAACAGCAACAACAACATAAGGCGCAACAACAACACAAGAAACAAGGCCGACATCAACCACATCGGAACCAACAACCCAACACTCCAGAAAAAGAAGACGAATGACATTCAACTAACGAAATGAATATTTTTATTTTTAAACGACTCCGTCTTTTGTGGGGGAGCATTGTAGGGATCAAACATTCATTTATTAACTATCTTATATATTAATTATTATTAAAGATTATTGCAAATTTCAATGTTAGCTAATCTATGCTAATTTTTATTTCTTTGCTTCTCTCTCAATCTTTTTTCTGAGAGCTTGTAAACAAGACGGTTCGAGATTCACGTTAGAATAAAGTTAACATTTTATTACGCCTGAATTGTGTTTGTTTTATTTATTTTACTTCGCAACAAGGTGTCTTGTTAGTAGCAGAACGCTTGGACTAACACCTCCGCAATAAGTCATGCAATCTGTGAATTTCAATTTTTTTAATGTTATCACTGGTTTTTTACATTTTCGACAGTACATTTGCCGATTTCGATTGGTGAAGTTATTTTTCTACTTCAGGCTCCTGCAAGCTTGGCCAAACCAACCTTGTTTCACTGACGGTATTAGCATAAACATAAACACCTGGATGTACGCGAATCCGGTCCGTTTCGTGATGTAATTTCTGTCACTTTGGGCAAAAAAAAAAACAATGAATGAAGTTGAGTCATCAACTACCACTACGTGTGAAATTTAAACAATTTATGTTAGTATAAATGTAATTCTTTTTAAAGTGGCTAACAAAAAACTGGGATCTGGTACAAAAATTTGTAGCAAATAACTCGTTATAAAAAAGAAAAAATGCCGCGAATTCAAACACGAAAATCAAAACATTAACATTTTTTATTATTATTATTACGTTAAACAAAGGCGAAGACGAAACGTTCCTGTGCCTTCTCAAAACTAAGACAATTTTAAAACAATAAATTAAATAAACTTATGTGTCTATACTGAATAAAATAATTAATGTTCTTATAAGTCAAATAATGTATTAAACCTTGTAAAAAAATGATAATAAAAAAACAAATATAAATAAATTAATCACATATCCTTATCAATAAATTGACGATAATATCGATACATACCGATAAAAAATTCAAATATATCCCAATCTCACAAATAGCCAATGTCACATCAAATATCATTTGCCCTCCAATCATACATAAACCTGGCATTCATAAGATAATTATCCAACCTTTTTTTACATTCACAACATCAACACCCAGATTGTTCCAGATATAAATTGATCTATTGATAAAGTATGACAAAATTTCTTCATGTTCTTATGGAATGGAAGAGCAGTCAATTTCATTTCGTGTTCTCTTGTTTGTCCACCAGCTTTCATCATTGAGGTCGCGTTGATCTTTAGCTCTAAACAAGTTATACATCATGATGAGATCCCCTCTAATGTGTCCGTATTTCAGTGTTGGCAAGCTCAAAAATTTTAGACGATCTTCTTATTTCATATGTTTGCAGGCCTTGATCGACTTTGCTGCTCTTTTCTGGACCCTTTCTATCACCTCTGTTTCACGGAGACCAAACACAAGCTGCATACTCTAGATGAGATCTGACTAATGATTTATAAAGCATTATAAAAATATGATCACTAACACCTTTAAAATTTCTAATTATTAAACCTAACAAGGAATATGCTTTTTTAACATTGTTATGAATATGATCAACAAATTTTAATGAATTATCAAATATTACACCTAAGTCCTTAATGCGATCGACATTATCCAATGTATGATGACCAATTTTATATTGAAAAATATTATACCCATATTTCATTACCACACATTTTTTTTCATTTAATTTTACATTACTCTTTGCACACCAACTAGTCAAGTCATTTAACCCATTTTGTTATACCATTCCACCATCATCTGAGCTAACAATTCTGTACAATTTTGCATCGTCTGCATACATATACAATGCTGGACCTTTTGCATCTTTATACAAATTAAACACATCATTAACATATAAAAAAAATAATATAGGACCCAGCACACTCCCTTGAGGACCCCCACTTAACCCTGTACAACATCTAGACATTTTATCATTCAATCTTACTCTGAATGTTCTTCCACTTAAATAACTGTTTACCCAAGTAATCAATCTATCATTCAATCCGTACTTTTTCATTTTTTCAATTAAAATACCATGTGACACTCTATCAGAAGCTTTCTAAAAATCCGTGTACACAACATCAATCCTGTAGCCATCATCTAATGCCTTAGACCAATCATCCAAAAGTTTCAAGAGTTGCATTACCGTTGATTTATCTTTTACAAATCCATATTGTCTAGGGTCAATCAAATCATTAAACTTTCGTTTAATTTTTTAATTGAATGACTTTTCTGGGCGTAATGACTGGGCGGCGTGATGGTCTAATGGTTAAGGTCGCCTGGTGCTGTTTTGCAGTAACCGGGTTCAAATGTGAGCGAATGTTTTCTGGGCGGAATGAGTGGGCGGCGTGATGGTCTAATGGTTAAGGTCGCCTGGTGCTGTTTCGCAGTAACCGGGTTTGAATGTGACATAAAAATCTTTAACCTTTTTCTGTTTTAATAAAGTACATTTTGTAAAGTGGAGTTGGCGGGAAAACAACTTAAAACAGACTGTAAATGTGCCAAGCGTCATTGTTATTGAGCGATGTCTTGGTTCAAATACTATCTTTCAAAAACTCAAAAATCATCATACAACTCGTGTACTTGAGGCTGTTATATAGTCTTCAATACCCCGTTATCGTATCGTTATGTATCGTTTTAGAATAATAACGGGACGCAGATTCTTATGTAACAAAATTAATTTTTAATAATTCCGTGTATTTTTATTAAACGAATTAGATCAAACTGTTCAGCCGATTTGACATGATTGAGTCCGCCTGTTAGATATGCTTCACCGTAGCCGAAATTGTATCGTTTCAAAATAATAACGGGACGCAGATGCTTATGTAACAAAATTAATTTTTAATTATTCGTGTAATATTATTAAATGAAAATATATTAGTTCAAACTGTTCAGCCAATTTGACAATATTGGTTCCGCCTGTTAGATAAGCTTCACCGTCGCCGAAACCGAATTATATTTTATTGCTGTTCGCAGAAGTGGTGTGCGCTGAATGTGAATCTAATTTATTTTTTGTATCTTGCTGAATACATTTGTTTTGTGATTTTGTGACTGGAATAACAATTCAAATTTATAATGAAGAGATATTTGGCAAGATGTGGCTTTTTGTCAGGTAATCGTAATGTTATTAACTTTGAAAAGGTCAATTTTGTGTTACCAGATGTGAATATTTTTAGAAAGCCTACCAAAGTTAATACTTATTAGAAATATATCTAGTGAGGCTTTTAGTAAAATTGAAAAGTAAGTTTTTTTATTTCTACTTATTTTGGTTTGGGCAAAATCTTATGTTGGTACTGGGAAATTCCATACAGACAGATTACCAGTTGATTGACAGAAACCAAACATTATATAATAATAATAATAAAATAATTTTTTCAATCATTTTTGTTTATCATTTCAAAATAATTTTTTATAATAAATTTTTTAAACACATTTATTTAAATGCAAATAATTTTTAATCGATAAATCTATCGGGCGTGCTAGACCATGAACTTGTTAGACTGCTATAAGGCGTGCAAACGAAAAAATTTGTTCAAAAATTTTTCATGCCGAATTTTATTTTAACAAGTATTTGTAAAAATTTCCGTTACTTACAATTGAAAATAAATTAAAAAAAAATTTTTTTAAATAAATTTTTATTTGCATATCGTAATACAATTATTATTATCTTTGGCAAAAGTTCATTTTCCTTCTTCCTTCAGTTGTGAGCGGCGAGGCTTTTTGAAGATTCGTTTGATTTTTATTGTTTTGTTTGATTTAATTAAATTAAATTTATTATTTTATCACTCTAATTTGAGAAAATGAGTTCCGCCACGGTTTCATGCACCGTAATTGCATCTGTCCTTTCAGAGTTGCCAGAAAGCAAATTTTTAAGAGCTTTGGCCTGGTTGAAGGATGTCAAGGCTAAAGCAAAAGATGGGTCATGAAAAAAGGACTTTTTTCAAGACATTCCTTCGGTTGTTGAGATTGAGGTTGGTTGGTTTGTTTGTTTTTTCAAATTACTTGGTAGAGGTAGATTGACAGTCAAAAAAGTACATTACAAATCACACTAACAAATCCAATTAGTCTGCAACAGTACATTGTATATCACAATGTCAACAAACAATATGCAACAACACACGTTTAGACGACATTTTCCCTGAGATCGGGAGTTGCCGTTTGGCTACCGATGATGAAACCGAAATACCCCTCGACGCCATTCACATCTGTCACTCGCCTCAGTATCACGCAACCCCGCTTTCACTGTCCTTCTTCACCTGCTCTCTCCATCCCAATCGCAGACGACCCCTTCCTATCACTCCTTCAACCTCGAACTCCTAATCCCGACCCTATCATCCCTTCTCAACACATGTTCATACAATCGCAGTCTCGATCTCCTTATCAATGTCACAATGTCCTCATTAAGCTCTGTACTCCTCTTCCTCTCCTTCACTTTAACCCCACACATCATCCTCACCATAGCTCTTTCAGCCCTCTGCAGTACTTTTTCCTCCTCTCTCCTCAACACCCAAGTTTTACCACCATATACCATCGCTGCTCTCACACATGCTTTATATACCCTCCATTTCATCTTCACTGACCATTTCTTTCCACACAATACCCCACCCAGTTCCCTAAATTTTATCCATCCCACACGAACTCTAGCCGTAACAGTGCTCAAACATCCTCCATCCGCGTTCTGCTTAACCCCTAAATAAGCAAAGCTTTCCACTCTTTCAATACCACCACTCAACCCCGTCCTTGGGTTTATCCTATTAGTCACACCATGAACACATTTCTTACATTTGAACGTGCCTTCCACCTTTTTCAGTGCCCCCCTCACAACACTATATCTCTTATGCACCCACTTCTGACATCCTATACACAATACCGAGTTAGCCTTCACTCTCCTGTCACATACCCCACAGGGGTCTACTTTACTTATCACTCGTTTTCCACCTTCCCCACTCACCATTACCTTCGTCTTACCAATATTAACTTTTAACCCTTTCTTTTCAATAACACTTTTCCATCTGTCAAATTTTAACTGCAATTCTTTCATGCTATCAGCCATCAAGACTAAATCATCTGCATACAAAATCTCAAATAACAACTTCTCCATTATGTTTCCACACACAACATTCATCACAATTGCAAACAAAAACGGTGATAACACTGATCCTTGATGCACTCCTATCTTAACACTAAAGGCGTCCTTCCGACCCTCTCCTTTGTTTTCGCACCTTCATACAGC